CGGGTAGTCCCGAGCGGGCAAGATGGCTCCATCTTGCCCGCTCACGGAACTAGCCATATAATAAAATGGTTTATAGCTCCTGCGACTAAGCCAATAAAAACTCCTGAATTGCATTATCTAATGATTCAGTTGTTAGAAGTGTGTTTTTTTTAAACATTATTATTGGGCTTTATAAATACGGAATGTGGTGCCATGTTTAATAGTAGGTGTTCGCTAACCTCCTTGAAGATCATTGCACCCTATTTTCGTAACAAGTGTTGCTCTAACATTTTTTTCTATTTTGTTATTGCTGATCAGAAATGTTGCCGGTATAGATTCTTCACGACGGTGATCACGTATTTGCGCGGCGGGTGCCCCATACCCTGAGAGAGGTCCTCTGCAGAACACAGACGCAAAGCAATGAAGCAATGCCAAGCGTGACAAGTTCTTTCTCGTCAATTTTGGGGAATAATGGGAGTTCTGACATTTTTATAGGTAGCTACTGAGTGTGTTGGATGCGGTCGCCTGACCAACTGCTGAAGCCTCGTTAGTCTGATAATTGGTTGAAATTTTTGTAAACGAAGCGGGATAAATAAAAATTTGCTTAGCAGAAAATGAACAGGTCTGGTGTGTGTATATTGCAGGATTCAGATTCGGGACAGCAGACTGTAGACTAACCCTAACATGGACCAAATATTAGCTAAAAATTTACCATAACTCTGGAGATTAGTTTTGGCGCTAATATTAACCTTGCAGTCAGCAGTCTGCAGTCTGTGTTTTACCTCGATTTGCTTCCATATCGCTCCAGCAACTTACGACTAACAGTTTGCATGTGATCGCCAGGATTATATCGTTACGGCATAATTAAAATACTCCAGAGAACCAGCGGCAGTGAATTCAAACAGCGGTGGTGAATTCTCATACAAGCGTACACCCTTGGAAAATTCAATGCATCATGTGCGCTGAGTACAGGGTGCCGTCTGCTCTAACCAAGTTCAGGAGCCCTTTACTAGGAGCCTGCAAATCCTATAATAAGCCAATGCAACGGAAGTTTCACAGACCAGTCTATTTTTAGCTATTTTCCCGCAAAGTAGGCCAGTTTCAGTCTACATGAGCAGTCTACGTGAACATGTTGGCATCATGTCGACATGTTAACATTAGTCCATGCTTGTGATTGCAATTGGTCACTGACGTTCCTGTGGGATCTGAATTCGAGATAAATTCAAACTAAAAATAGATCGGTCTGGGAAAACGCCGTGACAGGAATATGAGGTGTTTCAGGCTCCTAGAAGCAGTCAGTATTTTTTGCCATGGAAATGCAAACTATGCATGTTATATTATACACCATCACCTCCGAAATTCAAAAAAATTGCAATGGGATTTTCGGAGCGAAATTTCTAAACAAAGGGAAACAAATATTTTAGCTGTCCTGCGCTTTTAAAATCCCTTCAAAAGAGATGTTTTCCCCTGCACTTTTCAAGAAACTACTTTCGAGACGGTCTTGTGCTTCGTGATTATCATTCACGCAGGAGACTGTAGCCTGTGAGCAGGCTGACCTTTGAGTCACGCGCGCGAGCGACGAAGAGCAAATCGATCAGACAGGGAGGAGTGTGGGGAAGAGGTGCCAAGAAAGTGCACTTTCTCGTCTCGCGGCTTCGCCGCTCGATTTCACGCTCGCGGCTACGCCGCGCGCGCCTGTGCTCCATTCTCGCCTGCTGTACTCCAACGTGAGCCTGCTCGCAAGCTAAGGAGACTGGGAATAGCACGACTTTCTATTCGGTGAAGAGCGTCGAAGATAATTTTCCTGCCCATAGTTCCGCGAGACACTCAGCTCCCAAAAAGCGCGGTAGTTCAAGACCAAACCTGATTTTTTTCTCTTTAAACTTTTAAGTTTTCTATTTCGGATTTTAGATGGATGCAGAAAGATGCGCGGACAACCAGTGCCCAAACGTGAATACGCTTTGAAGAAACTGCCGAAGAAGTTTATTTCCAGCTTGTAGGCCACTATCTTCTAAAGGCGGCGAAATACGAGATACAAAAACCCTCAACTTGTCACGTAACATTGTTTCGTTGCACTTTTTGGTCGATGTTTCCCGTTTTTCACCTGGCGCGGTCAACTTGAAGAAATGCGGCGCGCTGATTGGTTGATTTGCTAGGGCACGAGCAAATTTGTTGCACGACAAGTTTTGAGTTTGATGAAAAACGAGCAACAAAGCCAAAATTTGTTGCTCAAAGTAGACCTGGGCTCTACTTTTCGCAACAACTTTCTTCAACCCGCAGCAAATGTTTTTGTTGCGGGTCAAGTTAATCAAGCAAGGTGAAAAACGGGAAACATCGACGAAAACTTGCAACGAAACAATGTTGCGCGACAAGTTGAGGGTTTTTGTATCTCCTATTTCGCCACCTTAAGTCTTGTTCTCAAGATCTCGAAAAAGAAAATCAACAAAACTTGTGTGGCTTCGAAAATAATCTTCAAGACAGTTTTTGGTATTACATATTTGAAGTAATTTCATTAAAACAGCGTTCAACTGTCGGTTCAGTTACAAAATGATCCAAAAAGCATAATTCGAAATGGTTTTGCGATTTACTGGAAATAAAACATACAGAATTTTATTGAATTTTGTTCATATTCTACTTTACTATAGACCATCAATTAAGGCACTATCAGCATGTTCATATCTCTTCTGGAGCCCGTTTCTTGAAGCTCCCGGTAATTACGGGGCCCGTTAAGCTGTTTTGTTTTCCATTCCAGAGGGAGTTTCAAAAGGTTTGAAAATTATACAGTAAAGTCATCAAATAAAGAAACAGAATGGACTTCATCAGAGGTCAGAACACGCCCTACTTTTCTTGAGACTTTGATATTAGAATCTGATTCCGGGCCCGTTAAGTTACCGGGTCTTTCGAGGTTCGCGCAGAATTCGTCAGTATTTTACTGATTTTCAGTTTGAAACACATTATACCTAACTTTACGCCATTTCCAATTGCTTACATAGTGTTTATATCGATCCAATTAAGTGGAGAAGGTGATTGAACATGTCTAATATGTTACAGAAAAAAGAACTGTATCGAGAGTGTATCGAGGCACGCTAATGTTGAACCGGGTATTTCGAACCCCTGCTATTTCGAACCATTCTTCTTTGCCCCTCGGAGTTTAAATCGAAATAACGGGGTTCATCAGTATTCTAATCGGTGAAGATGATCATTCATTACTGTGTTGCGATAATGATTACTACTTTAATACCAAGTGGAAAATGGAGTCTTGGTCGTGTTGCGGCAACCTTATAATTACAGGGAAATGCCCAAGATTCTACCCTAAAGCTGCCAACGACCCAATAAGTTTGTACAGATCGAACAACGCAGAGTTTTTACGGTTCACTTCCGTTTCACACTCACAGAATTTAAATAATTATTCACAATCAAACAGACTGTGCTTTACACGAAGAGCGGAACAACTTTTTATGAGAGTCAAGAGTAAGTCAAGCAAAGCAAACAAGTTCCGTTGCTTTCTAATCAGACGATGTTTACGTGTGCGACTGTCTTGGTTAATATTCATTTGCGACTTTTTTTTCACATGCGTTTTCTATTTTACATAGACAGGGTTTCACAGTTGAAAGAATTTGAAATCATAATTTTGTAACAGAAACAGATTATAAATGTTACAAACTCATGAAACTTAAGGAGCTAGCATATATTACACGCTATTCAGTAAGAATAAAAACAATGACGCGAAAGCAGAGTCAACGTGGCAAACATGCAGAATGATAATAGAACACTTCATTCCATTGGACAAATCCACGATTAAACAAAACCGCTGTGGCAAATAACATTGGTTGTTAGAATGACGCGGTTTTTTCAGAAACTTGTTCTGTTCTTGTTTGCTAGTCTAAAAAACAGGGCTTTAAATAACATAGAGCAATAATTACTATTACGTTTTGAACAAGGTTTGATGAGTATCAAATTCAAAGAAGATTATGGATAGCCAGTGCAGTTATTAGTATTACTAGCATCTGTAATCGTTTTGGTAGGACGCGATTTAGTCTTGGTTCATTGCAGATTGAGACAAAAGAAGTTGTTTATGGCTTATTAACTCATGTTTAAGTCTATGGACTTCAAAATAACCGTGTTGAATCGTTCTCAGTTATAGATACGTCTCAAAATTTGACAATCGATTTTTTTTCTCATGGCAGGTTCAACCATTTCAAGTTAACGTCTTCCCTCACAGAGAATTGTACAGGCCTTGATTTGAGTAAAGGTAAGCTGAGCTATTTAGATATGCCAGATCAGTCAAAACAAATCTATGAAAGCTCAGTGGGCTCAACTTCGACAAACTTCTTCGTCGACAAACATGACAAAAAATTCACCGGAACATTTTGAAATGATGAAAGCAAAATGTCCTGTTTCGGCAGTTGTTGAGACCGACAGACATTTAAAAATCTCATGTAAATCTTTGTCTCTATTCTGGACCCACCTGTTGCCTTATCTTATCACCAAAGACTATTACCGATATTTTCAGCAATAATTCACACACGAAATTTCTCCTCAAGTGCAGCGTAGCAGCGCAAGACACAAAATAATTTAATGATTGTTGAAAATTACAATCAAAATTGCTTTTATCTTCAGTTTGTTATGTAAAACCGCACGATGAAGGTGTTCTTACCGCTTTTCAGTTTCGTCAAATTCAATTCAGTAGTAGCTGAGACAACAGTGTACCAGTTTACCCAATCATCCACCCTGGGCTACCAGTGAGTACAAATTTATGGCATTTGCTGAATTCTCTAGTTTGTTACAGCAACATTCTTTCGACGGTTTAAGGTTACCAGTATACCTTCAAATCGACAATTTTCTTGAAATTAGGATTTTGGAGACAAAGTAACGGTCAAAGAGTAATATCTAATTTCTGCAAAAAATTGAAAAAGAAACCTAACTTTTGGCGGAGAAATGGAGGTTTTAGGTTATGGCCGGAGGTAAAAGTTACCCCTTTGACTGACAGCCCTATAACGTGTAATAATCAACCGGGACCACTTTCGAGGGATAGGATTTTGTACAAGCCTTGAGCATTATTCGAGCATTTAAGTAGCGTTTTCCTGGAAAATTATTATTTTTTCCACAGAATATAGAAATAAAAGTATTTCCTTCAAGAGAATGAAGACTTGACCTCTTCACTTAACTATCACTGCAAGAAAGGGGACAAAGAGCAGACCAACAGATCGTTTAGAGAATTATCTTCTGGCGTTTTGAAACTTTTACATAAGTTGATGTTAACTTGTTATATAAAGTATACGTTTTTGTTAAGCGGTCTGAACTGTTAAGGTGTCATGGTAGGTTGATCGACAGTGTTTGGAAATCGTGCTCTTATGCGGGCGCTTTGAAAGAAAATCCTTTCAACCTATACATTTTCCGAAAGCTTAATAGTTATAAAGTACAATGATATCTTTGAAATTTTCTAAAAAGTCAATGTCGCAGTGATATTAAGAGAAATACCCAGAAACACTGCTTCGCTTAAATTGGTTCGTTTCCACGCATGAATTATCAGAGCGGCGTCATTAACATCGCAAATGTTTCCTAGCACATCACCCTCACAAAAGGGGTCGGCGATTTTCCAGATGTGTGTGGGTGTGTGTTTTTTTACAGCCCCCTAAACTTTGATATTGTCAATGCGGACGCACGAAATTAAACAAAGCCCGACACGCATTTTCGAAGGAAGTATCCTTGAACATGGCTGCCGATTTTCAGCTAATTCCGTCGGAACCCACGTAAACGAACTAAAAATTTTCATCCTTTTTATTTTGCCAAGAAAACGACGAAAAAACGTTCTATGAGGTTTCTATGATTAGCTGTTACACCCGCTTTCAGTGTTATGTGCATAGGCGACATCTTCGTTCATCTTTCGACATGCTATGTAACCTGGCCCAGATCAAAATGTTAACACAAAGTACTCTTTTACGGTCGAACTCGACGTTTAGTACTAAAATGTGGATTTATTCGACATCAAACTAAGGTTAGGAGTATCAAGAAGTCATTCTGTGAGAGATAAATCGACTGTTTTGAATGTTTACATCTTTTGAATACTTATGCTTTAGCGGCCTAATTCTTCCGGAAGTCACCATTGAGAGCTGATCGACTACACGCAAATCGTTTAATTATCTTGTAAATGTGGAAACATGCAATGTTCGCAAATCTTCTTCAGCCATGTTAGGTCAGTAATTATCATTCATTTGTCATTTCTTCCGCTAATAATATGAAAAATTGCCTATTTCACAGCAAAACAGCCTTTAAATAGCATGTCGAAAGATGGCATGTCAAAAGATGAAGGAAGATGTCGCCTATGCACGTGACACTGAAAGCAGGTGTAAAATTGGTATTATGTTGTTCAACTTTACACCTATTCGATCTCCACATATTTTTATAACCATGCCTCAAGTAGCCAGAAAGGAAAAATCTCGAGGTTGAACAAGCAAGCGAGCCAGCAAGCGCACCTTGCATGCCAGTGCTCTGAGTGCTCACTGCGTCCAAACAAATGAAAAACCGAGGAACAAAATGCGCATTCACTTTGGTTGTAGTACGACCCACGGTCACACAAAGCTTGGTCCACACTGGATTCCTCGATTCCATTAGATTTTCACCTCTTCGGCTTCTTTGAAGACGAAATTTCCTTGCGTTTTCGTCCGGGCATTAAGAAGAACAAAAGCTAAGCTTATCAAGAACAAAAGCTAACTAGGGATAAAAACCACCGAATCAAGAAGAGTTCTCGTGCACGTATCTTTCGTTCAACTAAAATCACATTACCCATGACAACTGGCCGTGAATTTTAATTAGGAATGGCAGAAACTTGGCAATGCATTGTCGGGGATAATGAGCTTCAAATATAGTTTTCCTCTTCCATCTTAAAAAGTAAAAAAGCTCTTTTCCCCATTTTTTTGCAAAATATTTATCTCAGGTATTTCAATTTGAACAGCATTTTTTTCCATTTTTCCTAAAATCCACCTACCATGATACCTTAATTGTACTGAAACGTTAAAACTTCAGAAACCTTGCAGACTATATCTCAGATTAATTGTAATGTCTCAGATATTTCTGCTTGCACGTGATTGGTCTATATATAAGCGTCAAGTGACTGAATATGCCCCAGCTAAAACGGGGGAAAATCCTAGTGGCATTCCACAATTTTCTGAAGATCCCGGGTGTGGCAAAAAAATATTTGAAGGATAATGAAACACAATAGCCTCCGTTTGGCATAAAAATGTGCTCGGATATGTCCTTGGGCAAAGGGCTAGAAATTTTTTCAATGCAGGAAGGACTACTTGCCTGTCTTGGTTGGGTAAACTGTCAACTGACAAATGGCAATACAATAACTGACAACTGACAAATAATCGAAACAACAAATAACTGAGAACTGAAGTTTGTAGTCAGATTTATTAACAACAGACCATTAAGGCCTTGCTCTTCATGCCACGGGGAGAAGGGAAATGTCTGCTGTTATTTTATTTTTTCCGGAATAGTCAGATAAATGGTTAACTTTTCAAAAATTGAACAATTTCTAGATTTTATGAAAACTTTCCAAAGAAATTTCCTTATACCCAATATTTGTCACCGTTCCGAAATTTTCGGAATGTGTGATTGACTTAGGCCGGAGGTTTTATGTCTTTACTGTGAAAGGAACAACAGATTCTTTTTCCTGTGGGTAAAAATGTTCTTTCTTATGCAAAATATTTTCATTGTTCCTGCCATGCAACATGGCTGCTGTGCAAAACCTCTACACTTCTAGTCGCTTCATGTCGCAGAAACCGGAATAAGCTCCGGCCTGATGGACCACTTGGTTCATATGCAGAATTTACCTTACCTTACCTAACTGACCACTGACAACTGAGGGATAAACGTCAACGCTGCTGAAAAGGTACCTTTGGAATGTGCCCAATTTGATGTTGCATTTTGCTAAGCAACCTTGCGTGGGACCTAAGCCGCCCATCCGACAGTGTGTCTCTGTAGATAAAAGGCGTATGTCCAGCACTAAGGGAGGTACAGTTTTCCTTTGTTCCGCTATCTGGACCGTGTACTCTGTGTACTGTCTGAACCCATTTGATAAGGAAAACAGTAGTATTATGCTCTACCCCACAGACTGATTTACGAAGCGTGTCAATGGCTGAACCAGTATACGTTGTCAGTTAGATGTGGGGGGTCCCATGCTCAGCAGAGATACCGTTCTGACTTCAAGTGATCGATATATAACTGCTAGTTGATGTGATGTTCGTAAGCTTCTCGTGATTAGAAATCTGCTCTTTTAGGCTTTAAATTTAAACGTCTGATCTCCTCAACGCTGTGATCGAATGGGAGATATCCATGAGTAATTCTCGATGGTCAGCTATTTTCTTAGGTTCCAACAGTCAAGTTTCTTCATAAATCACTTCACGACAAGATGGGACCTTCGATGTCTTAGCGCGAATGCGTATTACCTTTCTAGTTGATGCTGGGAGATTCTGCGCGGTGTAGCAAGCATAGTTTAGCAGGTTGGCAATTTTTAACTGAAACAAGGGGTACCAATGCATCCGTGATCACTACTCGCTAACCTGCCAGCCCGGTATTTTTTTGAGACAGCCAAACAGTGACTGAAATATTATATTGCTAGTGCCAGAACGCAGGTGCCAACTAGCAAATACGAGCCCAACTGAGATCCGAACAACTTGAGATAAATAAGCTATACCGTGAAATGATGGAACCCCAAAGTGCCAGCTAGGCTCTGAGGTAAAACAAACATTTACTACCTCAGAACAGGACGCTCATAAATAACTTAAATTACATCGAGAACTGCAACAACACACAACGACTACTTATAAGAACCTGCGTACATTTGAAAATTATGTACTATTTTTGGAGACATTTTGGGTAATTTTCATATTGCGTTCTTGGGTATTTTCTTGTTTTTAGAATTCGGACTTCACAAGCAATCACTATGGCTCAATTTTTTCGTACCCTTGCTGCCACCGTGTTTTTTATGTTGGGTAAGTGGAACATGTTTCTAACCAATCCTTTCCGGCCCGACAGTGATCATCATTGTCATATCTCTACCTATGTAAATACAGAGTCAAGCATGCAGGTCCCACAAATATAGGAATCCCTTACAGAGAACGGTAATAAGATCTGAAGAACTGGGTCCCTGAAGGAGATGGAATTAGCTTGCTTTTCCCTAAGTAGTTTTGTGAGAAGTGAAATATCTTAATGTCTTTGTAATGCTTACATTTGGGGTCCTTCGACCTTCTTTCTTCTTTCAAGTCGCCATGTACTGACTTGTATATGCTAGAGCCACGGCGGCTTGATGGAAATCGTTGTTTAGGTAACCCACAAAAATCCGAAGTCAAATAGCGTTGAACTGAACAAAGGACCTAAAAGTTACTGCATTAGCGTTATAGAATTTGTTGTTTGTCAGTTTCGACTATTGATTTGTAGTTCATCCTGCAATAAATTAAAAGAAGGTCTCCCTTCCATAGACCTGAAAAATGACGCTCAAAACGCCCAAAACCGTACAGTTCCGCTTTGGTTTTGAACAGTTTATGATTCCATCGGAGTTTACACTAAAAGCTTATTTTAGTGAACTTTGCATTGGCCATCGTTCTTGTCGTATCGTGTAAATTGGTAGAGCTGGAAAAATGCTTTAAGTTGTGACGTGGGGTAGGGGAAGGCTGAGAGGCAATATTTCATGAACGAAATTGACTAAAGCAGCTTATGCGTTGAAGATAAATCAGCACCCAGCCGTTACTGCAAGAAAAGGGTGTTCTTGATAAGCCATTAGCCTGAAAACAGACTTAATCTCTACACTTCTTTCTTTCCTGCAGTTGTCGAGATCTGCTGTTGGCCATGTCCCCCAAAGATGCGCCGTGATATGGATGGCAAGCGTGGCGCTTACCCAACCCGGTATCGGTGCAGCTGTGGCACTGTACTCTATGATCCAGGCTCAGAATTATGTTGCGACAATAATCGTTATCCTAAACGCCGTGGTCACTTATGCTGTGGTAATCGAACATACAACCGTTTTTCTCAGGTTTGCTGCGGAGGAGGCAAAGTGGATTTGGGATGTTGTGGGTAAGTGCAATTCTTACATGTACACGCCTTATGAAGAAGCAACTGAGAATACATCTTTTCACATCGCCAACATTTTGCTTATTGTATATCCTCTCCTTTCAATGAAAAATTTAGTCTTAATTAGCGAAACGTAAACTGCTTTAGAATTATATTATTAATAACTATAACCAAGAGGCTTCTAGAAGGACACGAGGAAAATTCACTCATTTTAGTTTGAGTAATATACAGATGTAACAGTACATGCTATCAGTATACGAATTTCAGTTACCAAATCCAAAAAAGAGCGCGCTCTTGACAGCAACCTTGGCAAGAGATGGGGAGCAATAAAATGTAAATCATTTTTTTCTCCAAGGTTTAATTTTGGCTTAGAGGCCAAACCCTAGAAAGGAGATCGTGTGAGTTGGTTTAAGTTATTCTTTTTTTCAATATTCATTAGGCTAAGCAAAACAAATAGTTTGAGGGCAGCAGATTTTTTTTTTTTAAAAATGACAGACTCAAGGAAAAAAACAAAAATCGACAGAAACGATCCACTAGCCCGCCTGTCCAGCCCAAATCCCTACCAGAGAAGATCTTACCATTAGATTTTAATCTGACGTGCTAGTGGAGTTTCAAATATCTCCGCCTGTTTGAATTTTCTTCCCGGTCATTTAGCAAAGTTTATAGTAGAATTTCTTATTCTTAACTCACTCTTGAGCCGACCTTTCTCTGATGCAGTTGTTCACTAAGATCGTAGTAAATTAACACATCATGATCGTCAATAACACTGCTTATAATCTACCGTACCAAATATTTTCGCTTGCAGGCGATTGGTTTAAAAGCTTCACGTGCCTGAATATGCCCCACCTAAAACTGGGAAATATCCGAGTGATGATCCTTAGGTTTGAAAACTGCGCGAACTGCGAAAAATATTTGAGAGGAATAGTCACAAAGGCCTGCATTTGGCGCGAAAATGTATTCGCATTGTCCTTGGGCATTATGGGCCGATCGATTATTTAAACGAAGTCTAAGATATAACCATTGTTTGGGGTTGAGCCGAGGTTAAGACGTTGTCTCGATAATCAACGGCTTAGTGATGTTTAAAATTTATTACTAAAACACGAGTCAACCGGGTTTTCTCGAATCAAAGCATATTCCTATGGAAATGCACTGTTTGCGGACTTATTTTGCATGCAAATTCTGCAGCATGGCTTCTAAAAGTCGCACAACAAATTTCAGCGAACTAGAAATATTTAATTTACCAGATTGCGTAGAGACTTTCCAGACGTGGGAAGCAAAGGCTATGACAGTAAAGCGTTGGCAAAAGAAGAAAAGGCGTGGGACGAAATTTTAACGAAATTTTTTAACTCCCAAAATCCTAACGGTATCAAAAGCGAACTCAGTCAGCTTCAAGGACGTTGGAGGCAGCTGAATACAATACAATACAATAGTTTATTGACACTCCCCTGGTGGGGCTTTTCAGTGACAATGCGACTAAAAAAAAAAAAAAAACTAATTAAGATAAGAGAAGTAGTTAACAATTCGATTAAAAAGAAAGACTGCGGTGAACAAAGCAATACAAACATACCTATTTAAGAATTAATCGTATAATAAATATTCTCACTACGTACTATGCAATATGCATATTTTAAGTTAAAATAAAATAAGATACTAGTAAGATACTAAAATACTATCATAACGTGCTATTTAAAAAGTCAGTAATCAACTTGTTTTTCAGACAAAATTTAAAAGTAGAAATCGATTTTGCAGTTTTAAGAGTACTGTCTAGATTGTTCCAAATGTGCACCATGCGGTAGTGGAATGTTCTCTGTCCGGTACTCGACTTATACAAGGGGATGTTTAATAATTGGCAACTTCGAGTCACGCGCCCGGTGACCGCAATTCTTGTTGCAAATTGATCGCTGAGGTAATGTGGAGCTTGACCAGTCATGCATTTAAATGCCATGAGAGCGTCGCGGAAGAACAGCTTTTGTTTAATTGGAAACCAACGTAGATCTCTTAGTGCGGGGGTTATATGATCAAATTTCCTGGTACCTGTAATAATGCGCGCGGCAAAGTTCTGCACTGACTGTAGTCTACAGATATTTTTGTTCGAGGTGTTCGACCACACTGTGGAACAGTACAGTAATTTGCTAAAGACTAGTGCATTTATTACTGTCACCAGTTGGTTACGGTCAAGAACATGTTTAACCCGACTGATTTGTGCGAGGCTTGACATACAAGATGACGTAGTTTTTAGAACATGGTCATCAAACGTTAGTTGCGGATCTAAAACAACCCCAAGATCTTTGGCCGAAGATGTAAGAGCGAGATCTTTTCCTAGAAGAGATATTTTGAAGTCGGGGAGTTTGGCAAGTAGTTGTCGGCTTCCAAAGACTACGAGTTTTGTTTTGTCAGGATTTAAAAGTAGAAAATTGTTAAAAAAATAAAACTCCAGTCGAAAAAGAAGCATGTATTATATTTTCTTGAAGCAAGAAAAACTGGTGGAGAAAAAGCTCCTGCCTTCCCAAGTGAAGTAAGCAAATTAGTAGCGGAAGTTAATCCCCTACAGCAGGAATTGATGCAGGAGAAGAACTTGACTTTGGGCGACACAAAGACAAGAGGGAAGTTATCACATGCGAAGTGGAGCCAAGACTACCTTCTTACCTTGACGCTATTGACAGGAAAGAGCGGCAAAAGTCACGAAAAATGAAAGATAGCCAGAAGTACTGTAATTTTCAATCGCTTCTAAAAACTTTTTATGATAATTTATAACATAATTCACAGTTATTGATGATCAGATGACATAACATTGATAGGTGCAAGCACAAAAGATCAGATTCCCTTGAGGAGGAGGGACCATTCTTGTCCATGGCGCGGGACAACTGACTCGATTTACCAACAAATTAGTGGCAAGATGATCAGAGGAGCTGCCCTAAGAACAAAGAGATCCGGCGGACCCTCGGGCGTGCATGATGAGGACTTCAGGAGAATCCTTGCTTGCAAGTCTTTTAAGAGATCAAGTACTAATTTATGCAACTCTCTTGCTACATTAAGAAAGAGAATTTGCTCAGAATATGTGGATCCGCTGACCATTGAGCCTATTCTAGCGAATCGCCTTATTCCGCTGGATAAAGGTAATGGTGAGGTGCGCCCGATTGATGTAGGAGACGTGATCAGGAGGATTATTGGCAAATGTGTTTCTAGAGTAGGTAAACAAGATGTGATTGACTCATGTGATGCTACATAAGTGTGCGCAGGTCATAAATCCGGTAGTGAGGCTGCCATTCATGCGATGCATAATATGTTCGAGTCGGATAAATTAGACGCCGCGTTACTCAAAGATGCCTCAAACGCTTTTAATTCGCTTAATAGAGCGGCAGTCTTGCACAACGTTAGAGTTCTATGTCCAATAATCGCCACCTATGCAATAAATACCTATAGAGCGCCTGCGCGACTTATTGTTATTGGAGGTAAAGAGCTCTTGTCTTCAGAAGACACTACACAAGGGGGTCCATTAGCTATGAGCTCATATGCAATCCACCTTCAAGCCCTCATTACCTACTTCTTTGGCATTCATAGTTCTGCAAAGCAGTGCTGGTATGCCGACGATGTCACTGGAGTGGGTGCGTTGACAGACATTAGAAAATGGTGGGATGAGCTGCTCGCGTAGGTCCGGCCTTAGGCTACTATCCAAACGCAAAGAAGTGGTGGCTTGTGGTCAAATCAGAGACGTTGAAAGAAGCAAATGGTGTTTGCGGGGACTGGAATAAACATCACCACGGAAGGGCGCAAACACCTCGGCGCGGCATTCGGACAGAAGTGTTATCTAGAGAAGTATGCGGACAGCAAAATAAAGGGGTGGATCAGCGAAGTAACCTTACTAGCAAAGTTTGCACCCTCTGAACCGCAAGCTTGCTATGCATCCTTTACATTCGGGTTGAGGCATATGTAGAGTAGACTTTGGAGAGTAGAGTAGAGTAGAGTAGAGTAGTTTTTATTATAGAGGGTAACATTTGACAGTAATAATTAAACTGATAACTTAATTCATCAGGACCATGCCAGATATTGAAGATCTTCTGAAACCACTCGAGTGTGCTATCTCAGATGTCCTCATACCGCCACTAACAGAACATAACTGCTCTGTGGCTGTACGAAAACTGCTAGTACTTGCTGCCCATATAGGACGCTTGGGGATGACAAACTCATCTAAAAGTGGGGAGTCAGAGTATTCACCATCCATCAGGATGAGAAAATGGCGCAATCCCATGAGATCCCAGGTGATGCAGACGTGCAAAGCCTGATGTATGCTGTTCGAAACTCGGTAAAACATGATGACCTGAGGGGGAAACAAGATGAGCTGAAGGTCTCGCTCCCAGTAAGGATACAAAGAGTCGTAGACCTGGCATGCGAAAAGAAAGCCTCTAGTTGGCTTATTGCTACTCCACAACTCCTTGCCAGGGAGGAGCTCAATAGGAGAGCAAACACGGCGCCAGCTAGATGCCTTCTCGATGTGCACTGACGTGAACTCTGGGAGAGACAACGGGCCTCCTTTTTTGCTATACGGGTATGTCACCCGAATGCAGACTCGTACAAGGAGCTTAGCCAAAAACAGAAGACCAAAAGAAGCGAAAGAAGCGAAAGTATGCATATAGAGTAATAGAAGTCGAAAATGGCGCTTTTACACTCTTGGTGTTCACCTCAACGGGAGGTATGTCTCAGTAGTGTCAGCGGTACCATTCCAGGCTTGCCGAGCTCATCTCTTCAAAGAAACAGGAGGACTACGCAACAACAATCACATGGATCAAAACGTTCGCCATTCTTCGGACTCCCCTAGTCTGTTTGAGGGGAACAAGGTCACGGAGAAAAAAGACGCAAATATACAGGAGAATGACTTAGATATAGAGAAGGGACTTGCTGGACAGACATGATAATTTCTTATAAACGAAATGTTTTAACCAATGTTTTATGCCTTCGCTTGATTGATATTTTTCCTTCTCTTACCAAAGATGTTTTTATGTACATATAATGCCATTTTTAAGAAAGGTCTATGGGATGAATAACAGGAAAAGTATGCCTTGCATTTTTCCACTTAACGGACAAAATTATATGTATGTTATTATTATTCTAAGCCGGGCATTTGCCTGAAATGCTCTCAATCCCAGGCGTTAAAAATATTTTAAGTTATAGTTATTAATTAATAACAATAACGATAACGATAACGGTAACGGTAACTATAACGATAACGATAACGATAACAACAAAAACAATTTCCCAAAAGACGACTACTACTACTATTACTACTACTACTACAACTACTACTACTACTACTACTACTACTGCCACTGCCACTGCCTACTACTACTACTTAATAATAATAATAATAATAATAATAGAAGCAACAGAAACATTTTGGCGTAATATCTTGGAGAACGATAGAGAGCACAACCATTCAGCAGAGTGGATAAACAGGGAGGAGCAGAAATATGCTGATACAGAATGCCAACCATGGGAGGACATAAGCCAAGATGAGTTGCAGACTGTCTTAAAGAAAGCAAGCAGCTGGAAGTCACCGGGCCCTGATGCAGTTCCTAACTTCTGGCTAAAGCAACTCACAGCACTACATCAACACCTACTGAATGCATATAACCAAGCAATAGAAAACCCAGAAAATCTGCCTGATTGGTTCACTACAGCACAAACATATTTACTACCAAAGAACAAAGACACAGAGACCCCCAAAAACTATAGACCAATTGCCTGTTTATCAACATCCTACAAGGTGCTCACATCGATTTTAACTGAAAGAAGCTACACCCATATCACAAAGAATGATATGTTGCCGGAAGAACAGAGAGGTTGTGTCAGGGGTTCATATGGATGCAAAGATCAGCTCCTAATAAATAAAATGATCATAGAAGACTGCAAAAAGAAGAAAAAGAACTTGAGTATCACTTGGATAGACTACAGAAAAGCCTATGATAGTGTTCCTCACAGCTGGATACTGAAGACCTTACAGATTTACAGATTTAATGAAAAACTAATCAAGTTCATGAGAACCTCAATGTGCAACTGGAAAACTACGATGAAGCTATCTTACAATGATGGATGTATTACAACAGATCAAATCAAGATCAAAAGAGGGATCTTTCAAGGAGATTCATTCTCACCTCTGCTATTTTGCCTAGCCCGTGTGCCTTTACATCAGAGCTGGCTACATCTGGGTATGGTTACAAGATCTTAAATACAAGTGCTCCAATAAGCAATCTGTTTTATATGGATGATCTAAAATTGTATAGCAAGAACGAGCAAGAACAAGTTGGAGAACTGAAAATAGTGAAACAATTCAGTGATGATATTGGTATGGAATGCGGACTTGAGAAATGTGCCAAAGCCAGTTTCATGAAAGGTAAACTGGCCTCAACTGGAAACATAGTAATAGATGTTAACACAGAAATACAAGAGCTGGACCAGGAAGGAGTATACAAATACCTGGGTGAAGATGAAAGTGATGGTATCCAGCATAGCAAAATGAAAGAGAAGATAAGAAAAGAATATAATAGGAGAGTAAGATTAATCCTAAGAACTGAGCTCAATGGAAGAAACAAAATAGAAGCTATTAATAGTCTTGCAGTCCCAGTTGTGCAATATAGCTTTGGCATCATTGACTGGAAAATCTCAGAACTGAAGAAGATTGACACAAAAACACGCAAACTACTGAACATACACAAGATGTTACATCCTAAAGCAGATGCGGAAAGGCTGTACATCCCAAGAAAAGATGGAGGTAGGGGCCTGATTGATGTAGAAACAGCATTCAAAACTGCAACAATAGGGCTTGATCACTATCTGAAGCACAAGGAAGGGCAATATCCAAAGCAGGTGCTTGAACATGAAAGATCTAAAGCCAAAAATTCAATATCCAAGAATGCTACTAAATTCAAAAGGGAAGTAACAATGCCAGAGATTGAATACAGAGAAGATAAATCTGCCTCTGAAAATGCTAAAGCCCTGAAACACGTGTTTAAGTCCAGGATGAAGTCAATGAAAGAAGAAAAGTGGAAAAACAAAGCATTGCATGGCCAGTATCCAAAGATCCTAGAGAAGCCTCATGTAGACACAGTCACCACCAACAAATGGTTGTCAAGTAATTTGAAAGGAGAAACAGAGGGACTACTTGTTGCAGCTCAAGACCAGGCAATAAACACCAGAAACTACCAGAAAGTAATATATGGCCAGCAAGTGGAGAGCAAATGCAGATTGTGTTCGCAACATGAAGAGACAGTGGACCATATTGTATCTGGATGTGAGGTATTAGCCAAAACAAAGTACATCTCCAGGCACAATAATGCTGCAGCATATCTCCATTGGAGCATATGTAAAGATCATGATATAGAGATTACAGACAAATGGTACGAACACGAACCAGAGACCGTGATACACAATAAAGATAACAACATCACCATCATGTGGGACATGCCAGTCAATACTGATAGAACTATAACAGCGAACAGACCAGATATCATCGTTAAAGATTCAGTGAATTCCACCTGCAAACTTATTGATATGACTGTTCCATCAGATAGAAACATCGCACTGAAGGAAACTGAAAAAAAATGCAAGTACAAAGACCTAGAACTAGAAATACAGAGAATGTGGCATATGAAAACCGTAGTGATCCCTGTGGTTGTTGGTGCGCTTGGTACAGTGAAGAAGGGTATGGTAGAAAACATCAAGAAAGTATCAGAAAGAGCTAATATGACAGAGATTCAAAAGATCTGCATGCTGGGATCTGCACGAATCCTCAGAAAGGTGCTCAGTGTATGAACAGAATGATTGACTTGAGTGACTGACGCTCTCGGTGCATGGTTTGCGCCCGGCTGATGCACAAAAAGAACACCAGCAAAGACTGTGATAATAGAGACAATAATAATAATAATAATAATGATGATGATGATGATGATGATGATGATCATAATAATCACTTTATTAAAGTCTCAAATTTACTAAGATGAGCTAGCGTTTGGCATTGCCACTTTCGTCGGCAACAATGTCATCTTCATCTTCAATGTCCTCATCAAAGTCTTGCTCTTGATGCATAAGGGCGAAATTATGCAACACTGCAGCGGCCACAATAATAACGAGGGTATTCGTCAAGGCGGTGCGTAGTCCCAAGTGCAGACACGGAAAATGTCGCTTTAGCAAATCAAAGCATCTCACAATAACACACCTCGTACTTCTATGCGCAGCATTGTAGCGCAGTTCTCCTGCATTCTTTGGCTCGAGGATTGGTGTCATTAAATATGCTCTACAAGCGTATCCACTGTCACCCACAAGATTGCCATCAATTGCTCCATCCCTTGCTTTGTCTGCCATGTTGCTGTTCTCAACCATGCGTGAGTCGTGAGTAGATCCAGGCCAGCGGGTTACGATATTAGCAATAGAGACATCGCTATCCTTACGACTTGGACGTTAATGGAGTAAAAATGCTTTCTGTTAATAGATGCCATAGCATTTTCTCTGTTTGGACATATGATCCTGATATGGGTACAGTTGATGGCCTCGATCACGCCTGCAAAGTGCGCACTCTCTTGGTATCAGCCACGTGCTCTGGGAATGACAGGAATGGTCGTTTTTGTTTTCAATAGCACTTGAAACCTTGTGAATGATGCGCATGCAGCAAATACAGAAACACCAAATAAATCGCTAATAACACTGAAAATTAGCACTTGCTGCATTGGTGTAAGCGGCAGACCTCTCTTTGTTGGTTAATGACGATCTTTATCCAAAGTTTTCACGAGGTCACTGACCGACTCCTTTCTAAGGCGAAAACGCAATCGAAAGTCTTTATGGTGGTATTCCTCTAATGGGTTAAGTCTATCAGGGAGGTGTCAGATTCGTCGAACTTGTATATTTCTACTATTGGTGTAGTTTCTCAACTGCGCTGCAGCGCAGACGTCCCTCCATTTCAAAATGGCTGACCATGAAAATATCGTTAAAAAGCGTTTAAACCTACTTTTGATCAGGTTTAATTTCAACCTTGGTCACAAGGTCACATTTTATACGTATTTTGCTTCTCCCCACCCCTGCGCAATGTTGACAACTGATGTAACGCAAGTTTGCATTTGACTGTTTTCTGATATTGAAAGGGGGGATGGGGGTGATTGCACTTATTCAATAGGTATTACGGTTATGAGTTCATGTTTTTGCCATTTTCCAACACAATTTGCCCACGGTTGTCTGAGTTTTCATATATCTTAAATGCAAAATAACTTGCACAGAAATTTACAAATTCGAACCAAACGTGGCACAGGCACTATTTATCACTTGCTCAATAAAATGACTGCGAATATCTGGTTATGGCCTAATTCCCTAACTTGATTCGCTGCTTTCATTTTCCCTCAAAATTGAGATTTTTATCATTTCTACGTCATGTAACAAACAACAAAATATATCTCAGCTACAAATATCTCAAGAAAGGCCCATTTTTCCTCCAAAAGGTTGTTCCTAGGCAAAAAAAACTTTACGATCTTTGAAAGGTGTTCCTATGAGCTACTGTCATTCCAGACACACTTTTTAGGGCTAGGAGGCACGGTTTACATCTGTTTTTGAACGGTTTACAAACGAGGTACAAGTGGTTTTGAAGCAATAGACCTCTTTAGCTTGGGCGGCTTGTTTTCCCATTGTATACCACGTGATATTCTCTAGTGAATTTCTCTTTTATCCACCTTAAAATTATTCATTCATATGCACGGCACTATTTAAGAATTTGAAAGCAAGAATTCTCGAAAGTATCATCACGTGGTCTACATTGGGAAAACAAACCGCCCAAGCTAAAGAGGTCTATTGTGACGTCATAGATAGAAAAAAAAGTGTTTAAGGAATTGGATATAGAACTGTATATATGTACTTATAACTTGTCTGCCACGAACAAGTTCCAACGGTTTACAAATGCTTAACCCTGGAATATAAAAGAAATCTTCTCTTAACGTTTCTTTATAAAGCAGTTGTAAACCGTGCAATTTGTGTGTGAGTCTTAATTTTATGCTACTTTGTGTGCTTAGTTGAATGCTGCCATCAAAATGATCCACAAACCGAGCTGTAACGTCATTTTGACGTCCTTCTCAGTGATAATCCGTTTGAAAACCGTCACGCGATATTGCAACGCGTCGGTAAAACAGTTCCAATTTGTGAGGCTATTGTTTATATATTTCTTGAAGAAAGGCATTAAAGTTTCCACTGTTGATAAAAGTTTATTTACGTCAATAACAGTTCACTATATTATTTAGAGAGGGAGCAGTGTTGGGGTAAACTACTGCTAGAAAGTATTGATTCTAGAATGGTCAAGGTTGTCAATTCGTTACAACTGCTCTCTACGTGCTGTATTCTAATTCTATTCTTCCCTAATGAAATTACTTCTCTAATGAAATTACTTCCTTAATGGCGAAGGTCTTCTAGACCTCAAGCATTTTTTTGATTTACATACTGTTAAGGAACCAAGCTCGGAAACACTGCTCCGCTGGGCTGAACTAGTGTCAAACACTAAACTGTTTTTCATTCGCTGACAGTTATTATAAACAAATCAATGGTGTGGCCATGGGTACCAAAATGGGACCCAGCCACGCCAATCTTTTCGTAGGCTACATTGAACACCAATTTTTCAATCAATACAACTACCGTCGCTACATTGACGACTGTGTCGGCGCCACTTCCTCCACCAGAGAGAAACTCAATCAATTTATAACTGCTGTTAATTCATTTCATCCGGCTCTTAAATATACCTGGGAAATTTCTGATACTTCTTTAGCATTTCTAGATATCAAAGTTTCTGTCGAAGGCAACGGTTTATGCACTAGTGTGCACTAAACCCACACACTGTCATAGTTATTTATTGTATTCATCTTTACATCCATCACATGTCAAGAATTCCATTCCTTATTCTAAGTTTCTTAGACTTCGTCGCCTTTGTAGTGAAGACTCTGATTTTTCCTGAAAATCAAAGGAAATGTGCGAGTTTTTCGAAAAACGCAAACGCAGTTCTAGGGCTTTAAACTCTGGACGAGGTGTAAAACTTGTAACAATTGACTGTTTGATTACACTTAAACCTCGTTAACTCTGTTTTCTAACAACGTGATCGTTTACTCCACCTTTGTTTGCAAATCTAGTATACCGATAAAAATACCAAAGCTCTTATTCTAGATGTGAATTTGTTTTTCTGTTCTTACAGGGCATGGAAGTAAAATCAAGGGAGGTAAATTGGACAACTCTAGCCCTTGAGAGACGTAATTTTGTTAGCTACGGAAGTCTTTTTGTTTCTCAAGACGTTGAATTATTGCACTTATTATTCAACGGCTCTTGTGGGTTTACTGTGGGGTTTCTTTGGGATTTTGTTAGAGATTTCACTGCCATACTTATCAACATGCACCGTTTAGTGGATCTTAAATGATTTTACAACTATCATTACCTCTTACCGTCACATGTCGAGACGCACAAATGCACGAACAGCTCTGCCGGATCATGTAACACACCTTCTGTTGACAAGCCCTGAATGTTCTTTAAAATCTGATTCTTCCTCATACGAATCTGTCTCATACTCATCAGTTTGTTCTCTGTGATCCTCAAAAACCTCAATAACATCCCCTTCGCCCCGTCCACAAATTGTATGCTAACAACGCTTGTGGTACTGCAATCGCTGATGATACATATGATTGTCTTCTTTAGGGAATTGAAGTCTCACTACAGACTCGTTGGCAGTGTGATGAACGGCGTAGACAACGCTACCGTCTTGAAACTTTTGAAGGTTTTCTTGTTGTCCTTCGTTTCTCTCCGTGGCACTTCTGTCAATAATTATCTTCTTTACGAAATTTTCATCTTCTTTTGCTTCTTGTCGTGATGTCTGTTTCAGCTTCTCACTTTAGATTCGTCACCTTTCTTCTCAGAGGCGTTCATCGACTTCGGCTTGCTTTTATCAGATGGAGCCTGCGCCTTCAGCAACACCCGCCAGGTTTTCCGGTCCAGTTTGTGATTTCTTGAATAATAACGTGATAATATGTACTAAAACATTAAATAGCGCCTGTTTTTTGTTTTCTCGTCAGCAAGCTTTTGAAAAACATGTACAGTTTGCATCAGCAAATGCTAAGCAAATGCTCGTCTCTTTTGCATTTGCGTAGCTTCACTCGCAGAGCCAACTGAACGTTAGGTTTTTAGAAACGAACAATTTCAACGGCGTGTAGTAATAAATGTTAAGCTACGGCGTTGCATTGTTCATTTACCAATTAATTAGAAAGAAGGTTATAAACTGTTTTGATCACCACTTCTCTTCGTTAAAGATTTTTCTTCTCAATTTTTGCCTTCCTGAAAAATGGACGGTGTACCACAAACATTCCGCTCAACAAAACAGCAAATACAAAACGTGAAACCAAAGGTTAACCAAGCTAATTATTTGAGCTTATTTAAAAGAAATAAAGTGATACATCGAACTCTGCTGCACACTAAAACTAACAGAGCGTTCCACACTTACCGTTGATCTTACTGCTGCTTTCATCCGATATTAAATTAAATTTGGAAGTTGAAGTTGCCATTGCCCATCCGTCACAATTTTCGCATTTGCCCACAGGCGATATCGCCAGGCGAAATAATTTTAACGAGAACCCGCCAATTTTATATTGATAGATGCGCTTGCTCCTGTAGTCCTAAAAACTCCGTAAGATGTTTTTTAGCTCAGGTACTCCTTTTTGAGCTTCATTGTCCACCGGAACCCGGCTTCGATCGTTCACTAGCGAGCGACCTCTTCACCTTTTGGAAAAAAAACTCACGATGACTTTCAC